TATATTATTAAACCAAATATAAATTACTTCGTTATTGTACATAAATTAAATTATAAAAAAATTGGATTAAAAAATTATACAAATAATGAGGAATTTCAAATAGTTAATTTGATACTAATATCGATATATTTTTGTCAAATTTTTATGATATCGTCAAACATATATTTTATTCAAGAATAAAAACATCATCGTTTTCTCAAAATCACATAAAGCCATATTATAACATCGACTGAGATGAAAAATAAAATAAAATATTAAAAACACGATGTATCTCGCTGCATTGCGCGAGTACGCTTCTAGTATTATATGATATGGCTTAAATCATGGCAACTTCAGTGCTTTGTGAAAATAGCATCATATTATTCATATATGTAGATCTTGACGGTTCAGTCAGAAAATTGCTTCTATAGATTTTGAATTCGATTATTCTTAGACTAGAAAAAAGTGTATTGTTCTACAAATATTAAGTGGCCGTTTATTAAACGCTTATCTGGTAAGTACTTACCGGGTAATTTTTCTCGCCAGATGAACATGGCAAGGGCCAAGAATCTTACCCGGTAAGAGCGATGATAAGGATGGAGAGTCTTACTTGGTAAGTGAGGGTGCGACTCTTACCCGGGTAAGCACTTACCAGGTTAATTGTTGCATAGGATACGTTTTGATGTACTACAACCTTACCTAATAAAATAAATTATAGTGTTGAGTCCTAACATTAAACACTTATCGGGTAAACATTTAGGTAAACGGCCCTTAAGACTAGCTAATCTTTTGGCTAACATGGAGTTGCATAGGCATCAACCATGCACCCAATTTTGATGATTAATATTTTTAAGAATATGCAACAACAGTAGCCTTTCTAAATGTTATTTGAATTTGGAAAGAAATACTTGAGCTTTGTAATTTTCCTTGTGAAATTTGGAACTTTTTATGCCTTGTATTAGTTAACATGCATCATGGTGGATATTATATTATATATAGTTCTGATGAGATCTGTGTGTTGGGGCTTAGTCTTCAGGTCCAACATCAAATAACCCAGATGCACCCTATGCTGGCCTTATGTATTTTTCTTTAACGTGTGGACTGATTTGGTGATTTTGTGGTTTTTTTGTTCTACCAGTCAAGAACTGGGGGTCTTTGGCATCGTGATCTCTGTCGGTATAAATTTCCACTCACCTTGTTATTATCATATGTTGACATATTTTACGATCATAGTGTTTGTGAGAACATCCCAATCGTGTAACTTAAAATTTAAGCATTTCTTGAATTCTCTTTTCTGTATTTTCCAGTTTCAATATGAGGAAAAGAGTACCCATATCTTTTGGACCAAGAAGAACCATAATTGACAAAGAACTTGAAGTTAGAAGATTGTCATGTCATCGTTTGATTTTTGTGACATTTTATGTTTCAACTTTCAAGAAATGAAGGCGTTGCCAAAACTGGTTTTGGTATACCTGAACTCCCAATCCTCTCTATCTTTTGCTGCAATTACGGAATATGGGAACTTTTCATATTCTTTATCTTTCTGTTCAATGTGTATTTTTATAAATCGATTTAAAACAAGTCCCGAGTATATGTTATATTGTTGTTTAACAATCCTTGGCCGGTGAAAACAATGTTGTTTACTGTAAATCATGGTGGATTGGTTTAAATATATTGAATTCTAAACTTTGTTCGATCTATTGCAATTTGAACAATAACTCTTATTCATTCAAATGTATTAATATGTAAAAAAAATTAAGAGTAAATCATATCATTTAAAAAGTCTTCTCTCGTGAAAACACGAAAAGCCTCAAAATCGTTTACATTTACGACTCCCGCCGTATTGCGCGGGTACACAACTAGTATATATATATATATATATATATATATATCATATGACATAATTGAGTTCCAGTAAGAATGAAAGTTACAATGACAAAAGTGAGAAAGGATATCTACCATTGGATCAATCGTAATCGAAGATCAATACTATATGCCAAGATGCACGGGATCAATTATGATAAACGCAATTCATGGGATGGATGAGATTAAAAATGATCAAGGGTTCAGATCTCTTCTTACGATTCTCACATGATCCTCTCGTATGACACGACTGTTGATTAGATATAATTTTTTATGTCAATGGATTGAAGAAGCTTGAATGTGTCCTTGGTCGTCTTTAATGATCCACCGTAGCTTCAGACATTCTCGTGACAATGTCGGTGGCTAATTAAATTCCTAACGGCTAATTAAAGGAAAATGACTGGTCACCAACTTAATGCTAACATAAAGCCCAAAACAGGCCCAATTATCAGCAAACCCCAACCACAGATCTCCAGAAACGTCTATTTCCCTCATTCTCCCATGCAACACATACCCTCATCTCCATGGAAGCACTCTGGAATTTAGAAGATAAATGGAAGCTTTCAACACATAAAGCTCTCATCTTCTTTGCCTGCATTGTCTTTCTCGTTATTGTCGTCCTCGGGCTTTGTGCCGCCACGGCTCTGAGAAAGAGAGCCACCAAAACCGTTCAAGATCGTGGTGGTGTGGTTGAGCCAGGGGTGGCAAAAGGGTCAACTGGGCAATGGCTAAGGGCGAAGGCGGCTTTGACAGGCTCAGTGCGGTGGAGCAAGGCTAGTAAATGGGATGGGAGTTTGAGTGCGAGCCGAAAAGAGCAGCCTACTCCGTTGCTGGCTAGAGGTGGTGGTGAGGTGGGGTGGCCAAGCCATAATGCGGTGTCTCCGGTGTGGCAGCGGCCGATACTTATGGGTGAGAAGTGCGAGTTGCCGAGGTTTAGTGGGCTCATTCTTTATGATGAAAGAGGGAAGCCACTTGATCAAAGCCACTCTGCTGATATCCAGGTATGTATATGATGATCACATTCTTTTTTTATAATCAGATATGGGCTCAGATTCTAAAAAATCCACTAGAGTTAGATTCTTAAATCCAGTTTTCAAGGTCATTCAGCTAAGCAGCCCTCTGAGTCCTTTGGACAAATGACCTTAAATTAATTTTTTATCAAGAGTATGACCTTCTAGAAAGATTATCTTAATGACCTTGATTTCACTGATTAGCTTAATGACCTTGATTTCACTTGCCCCTGGTGCAAAAAGGTCTGCCCCTAATGCAAGCTTATAAATGCACTAAGAGGGTTAGATTCTTAAATTCAGGTTTTGAGAAATATGATATAGTAGCTCATACCTTGTGTACTGAAGTTGTACATTGCTTCGGATTTGACCATTCTGTAGCGGAAAGAGGTGCTAAAATGCTGGAAAAACCTGTAGAAATGTATTGACAGGATAGACGATACAAGTTCTAAAACATAACATTGTAGAAAACATGTATTAACATCCCCGATCCAAAATTAAGATTAAAACCAAACATACCTGTATATTCCATTTGAAAGTAGGGTCTGATAGAAGTAAGATGTACGCAAACCTTTCCTCTAAGGGATAGAGAGGTTGTTTTTGTGAAAAACCCGACTTGTGAAAAAGTTTTATGATGATAAAACTTGTCAAAAAGATTTTTGGAGGTTGCAAGGATTGGAGAAAAATATTAGAAAAAAGTGTGTACTAGCAGGCAACAAGGACGGTTAACCAAAGGGCCATTGGCCTAGCGGTATGTAGAGCCCCAGCCCTTCTACGAGGTCTGGGGTTCAAACCTCACCAAAGATGAGGAGGGTGCGTAAGTTTGTGTATAAATATCATATACTTCAAAACAAGGACAATTAATAGTAACTGCAGAATGAATATATACGAGAGAAGAAAAAGTAAAACACCAAACCTCACAAAACGAGGTACTAGGACCAGATCCGCTTACTCCATCAGATCCAAAAATGATTATTTTACAAAAAACAGAGCGAGCATAATATGCGCAATAGTGTTTGTGTGGTTGAGCCTTATTGTAACTAAACTTATTACAATTTTTGTGGGATTGCAGGAACAGCCTACGGTTAGAGCTACTTTGCGAGATCTTCTATAGTCGGTTTCAGTTTTTGTTCTTGTTGGTATCACAATACTACTGTAATTAGTCACTGGTAAAACTTTATACAGTCAGATCATGAGATTAGTAACCATCTTTTGCATACATCATTAGTTCATTTGCTGATCCAGCATTCTTAGAATTCACATATTTGGTCCAATGCATCAAAATTTAAACGGTAGTCAACAAAGAAGGGGAAACTTGCAATCTCACTAGATTTCAAATAATCAAATTTATTGAAGAGAAAGAATTTGACATACAGGACAAACCAATCAACAAAATGAAAACAATCATATAATACAGATGAAATGGACTTCAACCTTACCAACAAACATCCCAAATCAAATTTCACCCGTTGACTCTGACAATTCTGACAAGCACCACAAACCCAATGATCATCGCCCCTTTTCAATGATAATTGAAGATCAATCTCAAGAACTAATCAAGTTCACACATGCAAATGGTTGATGTGTGTTTGATTACCTGGGCCAGATATGAATTTGCTATTTGGTCATGCAAATGACTATATTAAGGGTTCTCTCGATTCTTCGTTTGACTTCTTGTTGTAGTAGAAATACAAAGCCAATTGCGCGATTCCCAGAATGGTTCCTATACCATTTGGAACCTGAAATTCAAACAAATACAGAGGCATTATTTTAGTTGATCAGTCTAAAGACATGCCAATCTTTCTAACTAGACATAGAATCATAATGAATATCAACCAAAACAGAATTAAAGTTTGAATTTTGCTTTGCTGGAAGAAACTTACATAAATGAAAGGATCGAAATTGAATATTCCATACAACAAAAAGGAGGTGCTCATCAAGAAAGTGGATAGAGAGAGGTAAAATGGCATGAACTCAACACTCCTTGTCTGGATCACCAGATTCTGGAAGATAAGAAACTATATCATTTAGAGTTGTGAAATTGAACCAAAATGAAGATGGAGGCGAATGAAGAAATAACTAGCTTGGCTAATCAATTAATCAGGATAAAAAACTAATAGTCGAGTTATTAGATTACAATGTAAATTCACAGAGAAAGAACATACCATTACCGACAACGGGGAAGCAAACATTGATATGAGGGTAGCACAGCTCAAAAACCCAATAACTAAATGCCGAACTTCAAGGTCTGATACAAGCATACTCCCAATTACAATGACTGCAAATAGGCCAAATACAGCCAGCAGTAATCCAGACATCTTGAACTGCAAAGATAAGCTCCCGTTCAATATTCAATGACATCGATATATATCTTAAAAACATGTACATATGCCTGTATATATAGGATCCTAACCTTTTTGCGTTTCTCAGCACATGTTATATAGATAATTATGTACGATAATTGGAAAACTGCACCAACGGAATTGACTGTTGTAACCAAGATATTATCAGAAGATATGAACGGGCAGCCATACCATGCACAGATTAAGCAGTTCAAGAGGGCATATATGTATGGCATTCCTGAGAACTGTTCTGTTGATTGGTTTCTGATAATTCTCCGAAAGGTTGGTCTGGAAACAAGGAAAGATAATGGAACATGAAGAATGCTAAACTGATATCTTTTTGAACGTTTTTCAAAGAGAATTCATTCTGAAAAACCTTTCGAAAGGAAAATTGTTAATACTTACATGGGTGACACAAAGAGCCCAAAAGCAAATATGTTCCCTGCAAAAGTTGTCAAATAATTTGTAAGGTTTCAAAAGATATCTGGAAGCTCGTATACAATTAGTTCCATGACTAAATAAATGAAAAGGAAAGGCCGAATATGTGCTACATCTTCAAAGATATGGATACACTCTAAAATGTAAAAGGGCGCTTTCTTCTTGTCCTCATATTGGCATCCAGATAAATCTTATGAACTTGAAAAGATCCAGCTCCATATCCACTCCCAACCCATCTAAATGTAGTTATACAATCAGAAGTTCTTTATACCCAATTCTTTACACATCACAATACGAATCAACCCTAAAACTTAAATTTCGGTCAAACATGATTCCAAATCCATCAATATTCTTCCATTTCTTTGAATCTTTTTTTGTCATTTTAGTAAAAGTTATAAATAGCAAGCGAATTGGGAAAGAAAGGATTTAAATGCTACGATTCGTGTGTTCAACGATTACGCACATATGGCCAATCCAATTTGCCACTTCCAGGAGTATCCAAGTGCTAACGTAATGAGAAACGAACAGAATCAGAAAAAAACCACGTTACGCACAAATTCCTAATAGATTTCAGATTAAAACAAGTTTCTGCAAGTGACAGGATTACCACCTTAGTTCCACGTAATATCTAAATATCAGCTATCGCCAAATTATAAACACACAGACACACACAAACACACACGCGTAGAGGGAGGGGAATAGAGAGATACAGACCAGCTACTCCAGCAGCCTGCTTCAAAACCTCGAATGTTTGAGGCGAAACCATCGCCATTGATGATTGATAGATAGATAGATTCAGACTGTTCTTCTTCAACTCTTTACGTCTTCTCAAGCTTCCTCCCTAAATTCCCTCTATCTGAAACATTATCCGTATCCGATTCCTCTGATAATCTTCCTTCTTAGCATCCAATTTTTTTTGAAAATTTCTTCGTCGATGGGCAGAAATGGCAAAGTGAAGTCAAGAGCAAATTCTTATATAATCGAAAGAAGATCGACATGAAACCAGAAGTAATCCGTGGAAGCCTGTAGTCAACTCGAATTCCAGCTGTTGTTGCCCGCAATTTCAATAATACCCTTCAAGTTTTTTATAAATTCTTATTCAGTCCTTGTACTTTCAAAATCTTACGTTATTTTCCCATTGACCAATTTTATGTACTCTAAAGGTCCATCTTTAAACAATAACACCTTTTGGGAACTTTGGGTAGCGTTTGGTATGCAGACATAATTGAACAAGACTGAACAGGACATGACAGAAGTAGACAGGACATAACAGGACAAGAGGGTAGGACTAGACTGGACTGGACAAGACAGGTTTGGACATAACAGGAGTATGTCTGGTGTTTGGTACGACTAGAACTGGACGAGACAGGACATAACAAGACAAGAGGGTAGGACGAGACTAGACAGGACTGGACTGGACATAACAAGAGTATGTCTGGTGTTTGGTACGACTAGAACTGGACGAGACAGAACTAGAGAAGCTACCCCCAAAAGTTATTTGATGATTTTAAATATTATATGATAGTTATAATTAACACAAATAAAATAAATAATTAAAGAATTTAATTTGTAATTATTTATACATAATTTTCATATTTTTACCAAATTTGAATGAAAAATTGATATAATTGATGGTAGTAATGTGTTGGTGGGGGTGGTTTTAGTTATGGTGGAGGTGGTGGTGGCTGACGGTATTAGTGGCAACGGGCGGTGGTGGTCGGTGGATAACAGTGGTTATGAAGGTAGAGGCAGTGGTGCTTGGTGAACGACGGTGGTTTATATAGGACATGAAGATGGTAGATTCTGGTGGTGGCGGTTGATAACGGTGGAGAAGATAGTTGTGGCTGATGTAATGAAGATAGTGGTGGTGGTTATGGTGGAGGTGAGGTGGCAATGAATGGTGGTGGCCGGTGGAGGTCATGGAGGAGGTTGTTTACAGTAGAGGATGAGTTGATGGTGGCGAACGACAGTAGTGGTGGTGGCAATGGACGGTGATGGTCGGTGATTGACTATGGTAGAGGTGGTAATGGACTTGGTGGACGGTGGTTGTGGAGGCGGTGGAAGATGTTGTTGTAGTGGAAGAGGAGGTGGAGGTGGCCGCCGGTGACCGCCGGTAGTGGTGGCAGCGGCTGAAACTAGCGGTGATGACCATTAAAACAAATACCATATTAAGATTGTATATCAAACTATGGTAGATTAGTAATATTTTAGTTTATGTCCCATCTTGGTCCACCTATTTTGGTGAAACAAGAAAAAACCTCTTTTGTCCCATGTTGTCCCACCTTGTCCCAGTTCTTATCCTTGTCCCACGTCGCGCCAAATGTGTGACAGCGAGTTCTTGTTCTGTCCCATGTTGCGCCAAACATGGGATAATGAGTTTTGTCCATCCTGTCCTGTCCCATGTACCAAACGCAGCCTTGGTGAAGAAAACAATGAGCCACGAGAGAAAATCCAAAGGCTCAGGTTCATATTATGAAAGTTGATCATAGTTAAAGGAGCATTCATGAAATTTTAAACATTATGGCCCTCATCGATTACAACTCAGAGAAAAATTCAAATCGTTTCTCACATGGCAAATTATATTTTAATAAAATCCTTTTTGTTTTCTTTTTATCTTAAATAACCATTTCTTAATTTTTGTTGTTTGTTAACCTCTTGTTAGTTTATTAAAATGTAATATTTGAATTGTTAAAAGATAAATTTTGTTTAGCAAAACAATAATTTGTTTATTAATGGTTCTAAAATTCTCTGAATAATTTTGTATCATATGTCTCCCTTAATCATTCAACGTTTTAATTTCATTGCAAATACTTATCAAACAATTATATTTTATTTTGTATTATATCATAAAAATATTTTAATTATTTTGTATCAAATCATTCAATAATTATTAAATAAAGAATAAACCAAGCAAACTTTTTTTTGGGTATGTTCCAATCTAATATAGTCAGATTTTTGGACCGACTGTGCTTGACACTTGGGACAATGACACGTCAAAAACAATTAAATAAAACAACAAACTTTTAAAAATGTGTTTATAAAATAAAAAGGACAATATTTATTGTCATCCACATAAATATAAGATATCATATTAATTTAATTAGAACATGTGTTTATGTCTCTTTCTAACTTTTTTATGTAATAATAATTAATAGAGTATATTACATTCTTGGTCCTTGGGTTTGCGGTCTGTCTGATTAAGGTCCTTAAAACATGTTTATTACACTCTTGATACCTGTGGTATGCAAAAACGCACACTCTGCGTCCCTTCATCTAACGGAATAAAAATGATTTCGTTAACTTTGTTAAGCATGGGGGTATTTCTGTCTTTTTACTTTCTTATTTTTGTCTTATCCACCCACCCTCACCCCCAACCCCATCTCCATCTCCATTTTCTTCTTCCCCGACTAAGAGAAACCGTCGGCACAACATCAGATCTAATTACCACAAACCTACTGATTTTCCCTGTATCGTCCACTGCACCCTTCAATACCAATCATAAGAACTAGATTTATAATCAAATCTCAATAACATTCTAAGAAGAATTCAAACTTAGGTGGTGTTTGTTTTTTTTAAAAAAAAACTCTTATTTTACGACTTATGTCTGATTCGGTCAGACATAAAGCAATTCAGTCCGTTTGTTTTTCTTTTTATTTCAGAGCCACTTATCCTTTATTTCCTTTTTAAAAATTAAGTGATAACCTAACCAAGTATTTTCCTCTTAATCCTGAAGACTATCCAGATAACCAATTTCTACTTCATCATTTGATCGACTTCATCCTCTCAATCGATCGACTTCAGCCTCCATGCCTCTAGTGGCTTCAAATCGACTCAAATCAGATCCAAATCAAGTGAGTTTTTTCCATGTGGGTTTTCGCTACTGTATGTTTTCGTTCATGTGCAAACTAGTAGTTGTTCACCTCTATCCTCGTGAATCAAGGTATTTTCGTCCGTATAGTTTTCGTCATTGTAGCTTTCATCACGATGGAGATTTTCTTCGATTTTAGAGGTGGATTTGGGCGTTGGATTTTAGAGAAGAAGTGGTGGTTGATGGTGGTGGGATGAGGGTGGAGATTGAGGATGAAAGGTTTGATCTGTAGGAGAAGGAAAATTATAGGAATCTTGGGAACATAAACATAAGTGAAATCAGAAATTATTCATATTCATATGTTTGTTGGTTACAAAAGCAAACTATTTATTCAGATTTCAAACGTTTGTCAGTTTACAAAAACAAACAGTCTGGCTGATTCAGATTTTAGACTTCAGCACCACCTCTTAAAAATTAAAAGTGAAATCAGACTTCAGACTTCAGCACCTCTTAAAAAACAAACGCTACCTTAATAACATTCATAAGCTTCAAATTTATAAAACAACCTAAATCTAAATACAAATACAAATCTCTAATTCAATGTGTCAAAACAAATACAACAACTTCAAATTTAAATGAGAACCCTAAAAAATAGTGAGATAAACTTAAATTGGATCAAATACCTAAACCAAACTTGATCATGGATCAAACCCCTAAACTAGACTTGAATATGTATCAGAACCCTAAATCTAAATTGAATATGTGTTCTTTGAAATAGAGGAGGCATGTGTGAATCAGAATAGAGGGGAGAGACAAATTTGAAATTGTGTTTGTCAAAATCCAAACCACCAGATCTTTGATTCTTTTGTCTTCCTTACCGAATTCAACCAAATAGAGAGGGAGAGGCAGTCACATATTCTTTTTGAAGACATGTGGGGCAAGGGTAGGGGTAAACGATAAGGGTGGTTGTGTTATTGTGAGTGTTCCAAGGAGAAGACAGGTGGGGTTAGGGGCGAGACCGACGGGAAGGTGAGGTCGGGAATGTATTTCATGATGGGGGTGGATTCAAGGTGTTTCATGGTGGGTTCATGGAGATTAGAGAGGGTAGGGAGATGATTGGGGTGTACGTGTGTGCAAGAGACTAAAGATGGAGAGAGAGAGAGAGAGAGAGAGAGAGAGATAGTAAAGGGAGGTGGCCGAAGATGGTGATGGTAGGTTAGCAGGTGGCGATGTTAATGGCGAGGATGATATTAGCGCTTTTTTTTTTCTCTTTCTATATATATATACACACACACACACACACACGATACTACAATAATATAACAAAACAAAATAAAATAAAAAAAGTCAAAAAGAATGTAAAAGACGAAAACACCCCTTGAGTTAACTGAGCTAACATGGTTCGTTAGAAGGAAGGACTCAGAGCATATGCTTTTGCATGCCACAGGGACGGGTAGGTTAATAAACGTGTTTGAGAGAACGTAATAGAAAAAACCAAGACACCACACGGAACAAGAATGTAATTTACTCTAATTAATAAGTAGCGATTTGGTTTTATATATTGAGTTTAAAATATTTTTCTTTTTATCAATTATGCATTTTGATGAAAGCTAAATTGCTTAATAATTAAATGTATTTTGTTCATTTTCTTATTTTAGGTTACACATTTTTTCAAACTTTCCTTTTTGATTTTTAAAATGTATTACAATTTCAAACATTTGAAATAACCATCTACCTAATAATGTATAAGTACTTACTAGAATTCTGTTTTATTGAAGTGATATTAATTGTTTTATTTTTTTTAAACGTTAAGACCATTTATGGGCTGTTTGTTTGGCTCTTAATGGTGACATTAAGAGCCAACCTCTTAATCGGTCAGAGGTTGAGGTTGTTTGGCAAAAAAAAAAAAATGTCTCTTAATGGTTACAATCCCCCTCTTAACCATTTTGCATCTAGGGTACCACTAAACCATTCAGACATCTATTTTTCCAAGTTTACCCTTCCCACCCCTTCTTCCCAACCCCTCTCTTCACGTACGTCGCCATCGCCGGTCGCCATCGCCATCGCCGGTCACCTCCACAGCTTCGCCGGTTGTCGCCGGTCACCTCCACAGCTTCGTCGGTCGCCATCGCCGGTTACCCTTCCCACCCCTCTTTTCCAGCCGCGCTCTTCACGCATCTCTGTATCTTCACCTCCACCATCGCATCCCCCACGATCGTTAGTTCTTCTGTTCACCGTCTTTCCCTAACAAATCGAGTTGCAAACCCTATCGATCGATTGAGCCCTAACGGTGAAGGTAACACATCGCCGGTCTTCACAGCCCCTCCCCCACCCTCTCGTTGCCGGTCTTGAACAAGGGCAATAATTTAGTTTAGGGTTTAGATGATTCTCGATGATTCATCGGATGATGATTCTCGATGATGATTCACAGATTGAAGCCATCGATGAGGGCAAAGATGAACAAAAAGTGAAAGTTAAAATGGAATAATGGGTTTTTGTTAGAGAGGGTTAAAATGGTAATTTATTGTCATTCAGAGAAGTAGGGATGGTGATTTGGCCCGACCCGGTGGGGAACCCGGTTCACCCGACCCGGACGGGGACGGGGATTCCCCGCTAAACCGGGTACCGGGGCCGGGGCCGGGGATCCCCGGTTGAGGCAAACCGGGGTTGGGGCCGGGGCCGGGTATAGTATCCCCCGACCCGCCCCGTACCCGGTATATATATAAATATTAAATATTTAATTATTTGGGCTTATGTTATATTTTAATTATTTGGGCTTATGTTGATATTTTAATTATTTGGGCTTATGTAATTGATATGTCARAGTCCATCGTCTTCCATCAGTCCAATCCATACTCCATTGACTCCTCCATCCCTACCATCAGTCCATAGACTCCATACTCCATCGACATCGACTCCTCCATCCCTAAAATTCCTCTCGACAAACGACAGTCGACGACTCTCCGCTCTCGTCAACACTCCAGTCTCCACTCTCCGCTCTCGTCGACTTCGATCTCTTCTACATCGTCGTCCACTCGTCCGTCGACCCTCGTGACCTCCACACTCCTGTCGGCTCACGCCTGTCACCGTCACCATTCACCAGCGTCACCGCAATCGACAGGCGACACCACATGCCGCACTTGACAGTCGTCACCGCACTTGACCGGGGGTTGACCGAAAGTT